AAAAAACTAACTCTTCCTATGTATCTAACTAACTCTAACTCTTCCCATGTATGAAATGCTGACCATATGCAGATAGAGTTCAATCCTCAGCAAACTTATGCACAATAAGGATTAAAATTCCCAATTAGCAGCTTTTTCAATAATTGAAATTTTTTATCTCCTCGTTGGCCCATTACTTTCGCTTGCAACTGTTCTCGGTGGTCTGGAAATCCAAAACTGTTTAATTTTGTTGAGTTTTGTGTTTAAAAAACTGCGTCTGTCCGGTCGACTATGGGCCCCATTGGAGCCTATGGGCATCTTCGGGGCCCAGGGGGAGGGGGGGGGACACGACCTCGCGGCCACCACCTCTGGATCCGTCCCTGACTGCGCGTGTTCTTGTCTTGATTTCACTGAAAAATAATAACGAGGCGGTGCCCGTCGTATTCTTGTTTCACGGTGCATGGCGACAGGACTCTGCGCAGAAAATCTTTAGGGATGTGAATCAGCTAAAATTAGGACATTTCACGCCTTAAACTTTATTCCACGAGCTTTCCCATGCCATAAGATTGTGAAGAGCGAGGTGACAACAACGGTGGATTTTGTAGAGGTGTTAAATTTAGCATCACTGAAATGTTTGGCATACATCAAAAATATCTACCAAATTGCTCTGGTTTACCTTTGTTATGCATTCAAACAGCAAAAGTCAATCAATATTTTACAGCATGCACAAAGTTCTTGCATCGTATTAAATTATTTTTTCGTAGAAGGCCATGCCATTTAGGAAAGCTGCACATGCCCAGCAATTCAGCCGATAAAACGCCGTATCCAGAGGAAAATCTAGTCATCCGCGGGTAAATCATTGGTTGCCAGGTTCACATAACCTGTGGATTTAGGGCGCATTCGGCCAAGGGAAAATTATTCAACAAATAGTTATCTCTTCGATAATCCTCTGCGGAGGTTATCCATTTTTATTGGACCGGTCTGGAAAATATCCTCCAGATTAGTCTTCCATGCGCCATCCACAGCCAACGGTCATAGCTATGCGTTGCGAAAACAGATTATCCGTCTTGATCATGCTACGAAATTCCCCGCGATTCTCCCTCGCTACGGAAAATTATCTGGGATAATTTTCCGTGACGGCAGTGTCGAACGCCATTCAGGAAAATTATCCAACATTCCGGATAATTTTCCGAGATCATCTGCCGAACGCATCCTTAGTAGCTGTGGTATATCATAGGTGTAGGAACGTTTCAAAAAGTGGAGCGGCCAAACTCAGGGCGCACTTCTGAAACTTTTTTTGGAAAGCAAGTCCGACGACCGGGAGGGGGGGGGGAGGTTCGAGATGTAGGTTGTTATCGCTCTGTTTCTAAATGGTATGGCTGCTGTGCTAGATCGCATCTGGACCTGTTTCTCGCTAGTGCGCAATCTTGTTCATTCGATTCATCTATGTCATTCGGTAAATAAGGCTATCCAGCTTTCCAATACTATTCGTCCATTTCCACATTGCCTTTCCCGGGAACGCGAAATTCTACGAGGTGGTAGGCATTTTGGGTCATTGAGGAGGCCTTTGCCTTCACAGGGTGGATGCCAAAATACGGCACGGACATAGTCTGGTGATAACTTTGAAATGCATCGATGGCTCACAGTGCAGCATATTTTTTATGCGCTTTCATTTCGCTGGCCGCTTTTCAAGTTTTAGGGATTGTCGCAGCATTTCAGGCGGAAACGAATTGGGATGCTTGAAACTGCCAAAAGCAATGTGACAAAAGCCATAAAACTGGATATTCTCCTTTAAAAACTAAGCCACAGGATGAGGGCCATTCTGTCATATATTCCTTATCTGAACCCTGCTTCCGTCCTCCGTTGGCGGCCGCTCCCCCAAGCCCGGCTGTATTCCGCATGGCTGATTGGAAACTGATCTTACGGCTGCTTTGTTGCATATTTCTAGGTCAGCATTGCTACTAATTGGTGTATAAACATGTTGAACTCCTGCAACGGTATCTTTTTTCCGAATTACCTTCCCTCACACCACAGCACCCCAGAAAAAACCGGCAAGCTGCTTGCAGCAAGCTTGCCTTAGGTATGAATTGGCCCAACAGACATTTGATTGCCTATCATTCAAAGTATACGACTTGATCTGCTCTTGCGTGTAGGCAGGGGCGTAGCAAAAACCTTGCTAAGGGGAGCACAAGGTTGACAAAAGCTTCTCTTATGGTGACCCCCTAAAATCCCCGGATATAGCTTGCCTGTAAACAAGAGATGCGGCTTTCCTCGTTTCATTGTCATTTTTACTTTGCAACCAGAACAGAAACCAGAAGCTACCGTGAAATCAATCAATTCTGTTTGTATTTTGAAGTAAATAAACTGCAGAAATAAAGCGTTGAACCACCTTATGAAATAAATCACCGTTGCCCATAATATACAATGGTTCAGTGGGCTCTTTTTAAATCGATATAACTCAGAAGCTTTGTCAGAATGTTTTATCTGGTTTCCACAGATATTAAGAACATCGCGAAGGTCGATGGCAGATCGATATGTTTGATCCAAATTTGAAGATGAAAATCTGACTGTAGATCGAGTGGTCAACAATGTGTATGAACATGGCCAAGCCATGTTTGTCTGAAAATATTTAACATTCAGGTAGAGTCGATCAGTGATTCATTTTATGTAACGCGATTTTTTACCATGCGCGCTCGCAAATCTTAGCAACAAAAACCTCGACACCAGGCGTTGCAGTTTCCGTAGTCGGCGGAGCATTGGTGATGTCCGTGAAGTTAGCGATTTATTCTGCAATTTTTTCAGCGACGATTTCCAACATCTCTGACACAAGTGTCGTGAGGTCAATTGAGGCATGATAACACCAAAAAATGATCATTATTTTGCTATATCATGTGACCTTCAGGGTCAAAAGCTGGGTCAAATGACGGGAAACTTGATATCACCCAAAAACTTCCGGTCGATTTTCGAGTTGCAAATGTCAGAATATCCACCACAGAAAGAACAAACCTCCGTTACAAAGTCCTGACCTCTCAAGGTCAATCTTCAGGGCCAATCACGGGCTCAAAGGACGGGGAACTCAAGATCATCCAAAAATTACCGACCGCTTTTCAGCTTGCAAATGTCAGAACTTCCAACACTCAAAGAACTAGCGTGCTTCAAAAAGTTATGATCTCTTAAGGTCACCCTCCAAGGTCGAACACGTGCTCACAGGACAAGGAACTCCATATCACCCAAAAATTACCGGCCGACTTTCAACTTACAAGCATCAGAATATTCACCACAGAAAGAACTAACGTCCGTCAGAAGGTCCTGACATCTCAAGGTCACGTTTCAACATCAAGCATGGGTCAGGACTTTCTCAGGTCAGGTTTCTGAGAGGTCAGGACTTTCTGACGGACACTTTTTTCCGTTGTAAATATTCTGATGTTTGTAAGTTGAAAATGGGCTGGTAAGTTTCCGGTGATATCGAGTTCCCCGTCCTTTGGCCCGTGTTTGGCCTTGAAGGGTGACCTTAAGGTGTCAGGATTTTTTGACAGACGATGCTTATAGTTTTCAAATCGGCCGGCGATTTTGGGTGTCATCGACGGCGGAAAAATGACTATAAGACATTTGTACTCCCTCTTACGTGCTTGCTATTTTCAAAGCTGTTCCTGCTATTGCCGTGGACGAAACAGGCGACTTCCAGCGGCGTGCGCCAAACCTCGCGCCACACGCCACATCATCTGACCCCGAAGCAAAAGGGTTCACTTAACTACACTAACGGCCGCACAGCGAGGCGGCGCCACTTGCCGGTAGTCATTGTCGCTGCACCATCTATCGTCCTTTTTCGGGTGCCATCTACGGGGCACGCAAACGCAACCGTTAATCACGCAGCACCCTCCTCCCCCCCCCCCCCCCTGGTGTTACCCATGAACATTTCTGTTGAACGGGCACTCCAGTTAACAAACACAACACTTTATCTTCGAACACAACAAGAATATTTGAACCCCTTCCTGAGCGAGGAGTCTTGCCATTGCTCAACACCATATTCACTGCGGCACGATCGCAACACAGCCAAGGTCCCGAACCGAAGGCATAGTCCACCGGCGCGCGGCGACGACCGCAGACCCGGTGAGATACCGGGCACCGTGCTGACCATTCTGTACCCCAACTGGCGACAGCAGCCGGCAATCGCCGGAGTGCATGCAGGTAGAGCTCGAAGACCCCCGCAAGCGCCCACTGGGTGTAGGATAGCATGCAGTCCATCACAACTCGTCAGGGGCCGGACCCGCCAGCGCTGATGCACCCCAGATCGACATCAGTCGTTGGAAGATCAGCGCCGTAATTCGAGGTCGCCAGAACACATAGGCTCATCCGTCCGTCTAAGGGGGGGGGGGGGGGCGAAGCCGACCACGACGTGCCGAAGATGGGACCGGACGTCACGGGCGAGGCCTTAATCCGTTGCAGCATACTCATCAGCCACGAGCGTTGAAATCGCAATCAGATGGGAGTGTTCAACAAAGAAAGGAAACGAGGGATAACCAGTCATAAATGGTTGGAGGGAAAGCCACATTCAATGTAAGCCCATCTAAGTCCAACGTCTAACTTGTCGAGAGATCCGTTGCTGGACTGCGGGCAATTTTTGGCCGGCCGGCCCTCAGCCGCCCAGACCGCTTGTGCAAGAGCTCAGGTGCTGCAGCTCCCACCGTGTTTTGAAGTGTTCATTTAGACTGGAAGGAGATGGTAAGATGGTCGCAGTCGGTGTTGCGGAAGCACTTTTTTCTTTCTGGCCCCTATTCAGATTTTACGTTGGTGGTAAGCATTTGATGTACGCGGCGTTTCTTCATTGACATTCCGCGCCTGCTCGGGTGCACCTTGCCGCCGCATCGCTGGCCGACGGTCGTCCGCCACCTGGTGGTAGCCGGCGCTAAGGTCCTAGCTGCCAGCTAACAGACATAGCTGCGAAGCTGCCGCCGGTTTAACGTGCGAGGAGGTAATTGTATTCTCATGCCCTGGCAGTCATGGCAGCACCACTAGCTAGTGTTTTGGAATTTTGTCTATTAGCGTGGTGGCATCAGATCTTGTCAAGCCTCATGTTTGATATAGGTTACAGTCTTGATTGGAAAGATATAGCTTTATCCTGATCAAGGTCAGCTAAGCCGTGAAATTCTGTACCAATGGATGATATCCAGCATATTGTCACAGTTGTGCAAAGTCGCTGCTTCCCTCACTGTTGTGTGAAGAGCTGGCGTAACTTATTATTGGGTTATTGTTCTGGCTACTCTTCTGGTTTTCTGACTTCTGATTTTTAAAGGTAACATTTCCTAAGTGTCTTGGCTTTTTATTATTCATTTCCATGAAATTTGCATTGCCTCTTTTCTCAAATTTCATCCATTTCTTCATGTGCTGTTAACTAGAAAATCATGTTTCTAAGCAAGGGTAGTTTTAGTTCATGCACATGTAATACTAACATTTGGTTCATCATAATGGGGGCTTGGTGAGGCTCCAGCACAATCCTCTTACACCTGTTGGCTGGGTCACAGTCAAAAGCTATCACTGATTCTGTATGGATGTTAGTAATGCTACATGTTGGCCACCTAGTTTGTCAATGCTGTATTTCCAGACTGCCACTTTATTTTGGTGTATGCTTCTTCACTTTCGAAGTCAGCAAGCAGCGCTAGTCAAAAGTAATGATCATTTTATTGTCCAAAAGCTGTGCATGCCAAGTGGCAACAGCTGTGCATGGTGATTGGTGAGCCAGTGCCTTGCCCCCAGGATAAGCACAGACTTACCTGACTGGCATTGTCAGTGTCATCCCATACTGAGGAAGCAGCCACCAAGCTGGCTGAGTCAGGCAATGCAGGGGGCACGCCCGTGGAGTGTGCCCCACAGCCCGCCTCTGAGAGCCGGGTGCTGCGCACCGAGGGGGCGCCACGAACCAGCGCCTGGCCCAGCGCCGCCCGGCCGGCCACCACGTCCAAGGCGTACACCATGCCAGCCAGTGACGTGCGGCTGGACGGGACGGGCGAGGCACCCAACTATAATGACAGCTGGTCAGCTGACCTGGCTGCTGCCCTGGAGAAGGTCGACCAGGGCCGGAGCAGCGACGGTCAGTGTCCTGTGCTCTCAAACCACAGCAGCTGGACCTGCAGTAAGCAGGATTTGGCTCACATTCTTACAATTGACAGAGGTGCTGTAAGACTGATGTTTTGAATGCAGCCCTATCTATATATGCTTCTTTGTCTGATGTATTATCATTAAGGTCTTGATTATTTTTGGTTTGTGTCAGTTAATTGCAGCCACTCATTTTCCACCTGCCTCACCCATGGTTTCAGCCCACCTTAGGCAATTGGTATGTTACTCTGTGCTTTCTTGAGGCCTTCTTTTAAATGTTTTACTCTAGCCGAGGATGCCGAGTAAAATATACGCTAACTCCCTGGGAGCATATGACATTGGCTCCAGGTAGTACGCGGTACTGTCGTGACGCAGCCTCAGTACAGAGCCCTTTTGGGCCTTACTGTAGTCCTCGTTGCAGGTGCCTCCTCCGACGCCAAGCCCAAGGGGAAAAAGGGCAAGCGAGGCAAGACCGTGCTGCTTTCCGGAGGTCTCAGCTTTTGAGAAGGAGTTGAGGGCATGGGGAAGCACAGATCTCTGCACATTGAGGGTGTTGGGAAGGCCTGCTCCAGTGCTGTCGACGGGACGTCGTTTGAGGCGAGCTGAATGGAAGGTGTCTGAGACACGGGGAACCGGATTCGTGGGATTTTTGTACAATACAAGGTGAAGTGACGCCGAGATGGCCTGCTGGACAGGTACGTCATGTCATGAGCCGAACGGAACACGCCTAGTTTGCATTCCACACATTTTATGACTGTGAAATATGGGTGTAAACGCTCGATGCAACACTAGTCACCGCCCGACGTTGGCTGGATTTTTGGGCCGTGAAGCGTTTTTGCCTTCTCGCCAGACCCATACAAAAGGACGCGCTTATGACGTAGTGATGCGTGACGGAACACATGATAGGTTGCGCACAATTGCGCAATCTTAGTGCATTACGGGGCACAGGAACATTCGCACCAGTTTGATCACGTTCTGATTTTTCCTACTGGACGGGAACGGTGGGCCAGGCTGCTGCCTTCCGCACCGGCTCGGCCGGGTCAGGTCAGGCCGGGCGGCCGCAGCGGGCCGCGGTCGCGGTGTGGGGAGCAGCCGGCCCTGGTCTGCTGGGCGGTCGGCGTCACGTCTCGGGCAGTCTGGACCGGGCGGCACGAGCCGGCCCTAGCTTGGTGGCTGGACCTTAATTGGGGAGACGCACGAGTCCCCGCCACAGCATTGTCGATGCGCCTCGCTCACGGCGTACTCGTAGTCGGTCCTTTATCCGCATCGCTGCGCACGTACCGCATGATCGGTGCGGACAGAAGGCAACCGGTCAAACGCGGTCGACCTTAACGTCAGTCGCATCGCTTTGTGGAGACAAGTCCTGCACGATGCTGCCTTGCTGCATAGAAGCGTGCAGTCCTGAAAGGGAGGAACGGCTCTTGCGATCCTTCGCCCGTCGAAGCCGTCCGTCTTCTCCACTGCAGCACCGTCAGCGGCAGCAGCCGGTGGGAGCGCGGCGTCAGCGACGGGGTGTGACGTGACGTGACGTCAGCGGCGGAGCGTGACGGCCCGCAGCCGGCGCAGGGTGGAGAGGTGCGCCGGCTCGGCCCGGCCGGCCACCGAGCTCAGGCGACCCTGGCTGCTGTACAGCGTCGAGCTGGAGGGCAGCTCGGAGCGCAGCCGCTGCTGGCGCCGCTGGTACACGCAGGCCACGCAGATCAACGCCAGGCAAGCCTGCGCGGTGGAGCGGTGGCACACGGCGGTCAGCCGGAGCCCACGCATGGGGTCGCGAACAAACATGTGAACATCTGAGCGAATGAACGTGTGGCTCAGCTGCTGCAGCTGATCCTTTCGTACAAAAACAAGCCCACGCAAAAACCGTTGATTCGATGTGGTCAGAATTTCGCGGGTATGTTATTATCTTCTCAGCGGTCCACGATAATGACACTCGGTACTGTGGGTAGCTCAGCTAAGAACGCTTGAGAAATCGGACGTGACTTGATTCAAGTCATCACAGTACACTGCGATGCTTCCAGCGCCCGAACGAGTTGGCAACGACTATCCAGTTGCGGTCCGTTCTGGCTCCGACACTGACCTGGACAATGGTAAAGGCCGCGACGCCGCCGACCACGGCCGCGCTGCGCGCGCAGACCAACTCCTCCGGCGGCACCCCGGCGCCGGCCGGCGACACCGCGGTGCCGGCCGGCAGCGCAGACGGCGGCAGCCGACGCACCCGGCCGCCGTCCACGAAGATCTCGCGCTGCAGTGGCGCCTCCTCGCGGACGGTTCGCTGATGCGTGACGGGGTCGAGGCGGGGCGCGGCTCGCCTGTGCCGCCGTTCTGAGCCGCACTGGGCCTGCCGTGAGAAGGGATGGACCATATCGGGCTGCGGTGGGGTGCCGGGGCACCAGTTCACGGTATGTAAGGTTTAACGTCAAGTGATGCGCGACATTCCTTTGCACGTTTGCTCACATTTCAAATACAGTTTCGCGCACGGGCAGCACCTTGCGTGGTAGCCGATGGCACTCAGAACCAATTTCTGTCCAGAATTTGACGCCTCGCCCGTGGAAAGGACCGTCGAAAGACTTACGGGTATGTCACGCCACCGCTCGGCTTCCCACGTGGCTTATCCTTGCGGATACTTGTAGCATGCGCCGTCTTTGGATATGACATCTAAGCTTATGTGAGACGCTCATGTAGAATCTCGTTATTTTCGTTTTGCTTTTTTGCTGCTTCCAGAGTTTTTGCCCGAGATTAACGTACAATGTGGGCGCATTATTACACCTGTATACCTCAGCTGTGTAGAAGAAATTACCTGGAGCGATATTGTTCATTGGACCCTATCAATGAAGAGCGCCATGCGTTGCCCTCATGATGATCCCCACATGCGCGGCGCTGCGAGCAGAGCGGCGACGTTGGCGTAGTTTCTGCTTGTGGCTGCTATACGGGCCGCAGGAGTGCAGGGTACTGACCGGTCTGCAGCTGTCCAGGCAGAACTGCACGGTGACCTGGAACCGGACCACGGGGTCCTCGGAGAACTTGAACGCCTCGAAGGGAGCGGTGATGGTGGTCCGATCCTCCGACTCGGCGGTGAAGCCGCCGAACACGGACGTCTCCGTCGGACATCCCCTCTCGTCCAGCAGAACAATGGACTCGCCCGAGCTGCCGCCTCTTGCCACCAGGTTACGGGCGAACATGCCGAAAATGCCTGTGGCAAACGTTATGAGAGCTGGTACGCGGCTTCGTTGTGATGTAATGCTTAAGGGGGGTTATACATAAAGAGCAGAACTGGTGTGAAGCAGGGTTTCCGATTAATGGGGTCATCTCACAAGTGAGTGCATCCCCTCGAGAGGCGTGACGCTAGCCTTCCCACCACGCAACGAATGCGGCGTGTCGCCGAGCGGCGGCCACTCACTGGTGTGGCCCAGCTCCAGCGAGGGGAAGAGCGGTTCGCCGAGCGCCGACTACTCACTGGTGTGGTCCGGCTCCAGCGAGAGGAAAAGCGGCTCGCCCGGCGCCGACTGCTCACTGGTGTGGTCCAGCTCCAGCGAGAGGAAGAGCGGCTCGCCGAGCGCCGGCCACTCACTGGTGTGGTCCAGCTCCAGCGAGAGGAAGAGCGCCTCGCCGAGCGCCGGCTACTCACTGGTGTAGTCCAGCTCCACCGAGAGGAAGAGCGGTTCGCCGAGCGCTGGCTACTCACTGGTGTGGTCCAGCTCCAGCGAGAGGAAGAGCGGCTCGCCCGGCGCCGACTACTCACTGGTGTGGTCCAGCTCCAGCGAGAGGAAGAGCGGCTCGCCGAGTGCTGTGCCGCTGACGTCGGCGCCGCTGGTGTCCCGCACGTGCAGCGAGACGCGCGGCGTGGCGGCCGTGGCGTTCACCGTGGCGGTGACCACGGCGGCGTCGATTCGGCTGGTGGTCACGCACGGCGGGTGAGGGGGCGCACGGGATGGTGAATACCACTAGTGGGGAGGCGCATGGGGTGGTGAACATGGTGGGCCCAGCTACGGCGTGAGAACAACGGTGTTATCTCCTGTTGCTGGCCAGTTCTGTTCCATGATGCTCGCAAATTACGCTAGATTTGCGGGCCCCCTCGTGCGCCTGAACGCACGCCTGAACTTACTCCACGAGCAGGTCCAGTCCGGTGCTGATGGTCTTCTCGGCCGTGTCGTACGTGCAGAGCAGCTTGGTAGCGCGGTCGCCGCGGCGCTGAATGAGCGCGTGCAGCTGGATCACCACCAGCGCCGTGTACGACTGGGCCGTCTCGCGCACCACGCCGCATCGACCCTGCCAGAGCGCACCCAGTCACCGGCCCAGCTTCATGGCAACGACTGTTGTGGTCGCTGTTAAGATAGCGTCTCGAGGATAAGGTAGTGTCCGGGTGCTGGACGTGAGCTAGCGTTCAGATTTGGTTTCGTGGAGAGAAACATGTGACGGTATTTCATTCTTTATGTCTCCCAATGACCGCAAAGCGGTCGTATTGGCTCGTCCCTCACAGAACTGTGGCGCCTTGCGTGTTCGTTTCCTATCTGGAATGTTAGTGTGCTCGCTCCTGTTAAGTTCATTTGGTGTAACTTACGTCGGCGTAGTAAAATGTGGCTTCGGTGGTGCGCTGGCCGGTGCCGCGAACCTCGCACGAGGTGGGCGCGTCCAGCGCGAAGATACGGCCGGTGAACGGCTCCTCGGTGCGGAGGCGCACCGTCATCCGGTCCACGGCGCATACCAGCTCCACTGGAGACGGATTAGTGGAAGGTCAGCGGCTCGCAGGGCCTCTGCTGCAGCGTGACGTCACTATTGGCAGTGTGCGATGTGATTTCGTCAATGAGCACTCCCCGAGCTCGCCCTCTCCGGCGCAGAGCCGTCCGCCCGCCGTTCCTCGACACGCAGCAGCGTCACTCACGGTCCAGGCAGGGGCCGCGCTGGTAGAAGATGGCGGCGGCGTTCTGAGCCAGCGCCAGCGGTCCGGCCGAGAGGGTGTCCTCCGCCGACAGCCGACAGAGGGAGCGGCTCGGCGTGAAGGTGAACGACCGGCAGTTGAACACGGCGGCCGTTTCGCAGGCCCGCCGGCACTGCGGCCGGCCACAGGTCACGTCAGGTCACGGCCGAGGGGTCACACGCACTACGTGGCCGCACGCGGACGCAGGTGCCGTGTGGGACGCGTCTGCCGTGAGGTGACGCTCATCACGGGAGGTGGGCCTGTTGCGACACACGTCTTCCCGCAGCCGTCTCTGCTCTGGGCCTTGTCGGTCATTGGAGAGTGTGTCCATTCTGAGACAGGCATGCGCCGTGGGATGAGTTCTACCATAGGGTAGGTTCCCGTGCGGGGTGTGCGGGCCGTGTGACGTGTCCACCGTTACGAGTTTCTGATGTGGGAGCTGTCTGACGTTGGATGTGTGCTGAGACCCACCCGTCATGTCGAACGAGTTTGCCCCCGGGATGTGCACGAGCCCGGCGGGTATGCCTGACGTGAGACCGTCTGCGGACGGAGCGTGTCTGGCGAACGGCGGCGGTCGGCGGGCCTCTCACCGCGTCGGCAGAGCTGGTGACCAGCTGCAGGTCCGAGTACGCCATCTCGCGGTCCAACTGCTCGTCCCAGTCGCAGCTCGCCTCGTCAGTCGCTGCACACAGACAGCTCGGTCACGCACCGCGCCGCCAGACGCGCGGCTCGGGCGGCTCAGGGGTGTTCGAGATGGGGCGGTTCAGTGGACACAGGCGACGTAGGCACGCAGCGGACAACTCGTTCGCGGAAGCCGGCTTGGGCAAAACGATGTGTGGCATTAGAGGCTTACTATCCACGTGAAGCCCGGTCCCATGACAGAAGGCGACCCGATTACGAACAAAGCTTGTCTGAGCTTACTTGACAGATGGATAGAGGACCGGGCGCGAGTGAGCTCACCGACTCGCCAGGCTGTGTGATTTGTGCTGCAGCGCCCCCTTCCCCCCTCCCCCCCCCCCTCTATCCTGTAGGGGAGACGGGGCGCCGGGTACGCGGCACTCACGGGGCGCACACTGGTTCTCCAGGTACTCTGTGTCGGCGGCCGGTCGGAGCGCCGCTGGCGCCGTGCGGCTGCTGCTGGTGGAAATGCGGCAGAGGCCGCTGCCGGCCACGTACTCTGCCGAGCGGCACGGCAGCTGGTGGTTGAGCAGGCAGTAGTCCTCGCACTGGCGGCGGGAGGTGATGCCGCGCAGCACCAGATCGTCCAGGCCGGCCAGCTCCCGGCCGGGCCAACGCTCGAACACCCACGCCTTGCCGCAGGCCGGCGCTGCGGGTCAAGGTTGGCTCAGGCACGAGTATAACATCGGGGCTCAGGGACGAGCCCAACATCGAAGCTCAGGGACGAATCCAACATCAAAGCTTAGGGACGAACCGAACATTAAAGCTCAGGGACAGGCCCAACATCGAAGCTCAGGGACAAGCTCAACATCGAAGCTCAGGAACAAACCTAGTATCAAAGCTCAGGGACGAACCGAACATTAAAGCTCAGGGACAGGCCAACATCGAAGCTCAGGGGCAAGCCCAACATCGAAGCTCAGGGAAGAGCCCAACATTGAAGCTCAGTGATGAGTCCAGCATCGATGCGTTGCTTGGGATACAACGGAAACAGTGCGCCTTTTCACCAACCAGGAACAGTTGCCTGCATCATTAGGTCTGATTTGGAGTTGAGGACTTGGATTCGCAAGATGCAAATACTTCCGAATCTTGCGAATCCTCGAGTCCTGAAAACGAGGATTGGAATCCGGAAAATCAGGATTCAAATCCAAAAGTAATGTCGAATCCTAAAAGCCATCATTTGCAAATCAATATGCCGGCGAATGCTTTTCAACATACTCTGGGCTCCATTTTCCCTGAAATAAACTAGATTCAGTGCGTATATACATGTAATTAGTGCCCACCCAACTTACGTGATTACCTTTGTTTGCCACGACCACGTTTTGCTGGGTTGCTGCGTTAGCGAAGGTAAAGTAAATGCATAGGGTCTCAACTCGATTACTTAGCTTGATTTAGCTCGACCGCGGAATGTGTCACCAAGTCTTGTGTTTCCCCATACTCAATCGAAAGCAAAATTTCGACAACCCTGTAGCACCAACGCCTACCTCTTACTTTGGCTGAGTTAGAAGGGTGCCACCGACAGGAGCATTGAGGACAGTTAGCGAATAAACTGCTTAAAAGTGGGAGCTACACGACGCTCAAGTTTTCACATTTCGCTACCAAGATTCGAATTTATTCATCAAATCTCGAATGTTAATTGGTGCCCGAATCCTCCCACCATAGGGTTCGAATGCCACCTTGCAGCGAATCCTCAGCTGTTGACTTAATGCATGCATTCATGAAGGCCGGGGGCCTGCGTTGCAGAAGTTGACGTGGTTCGGTGTATTTGCACTCCACTGTAGACAACTGCGTCCGTCAGAGGCTGATTAACGCTCAACATGCTTCGTATTTCTTCGCGAGGAGCAGCTAATCCGAGACGGCTCCGTCTAATTACCAATCCACGAAAACTTGTTGCGACGTCGGATTACGTTGGGCTCAATTTGCGAGCGACATTAGTCGGAATAACTCACCCTGGAGGCAAATTTTCTCGAAGTAGGCGAAGTGGCCGGTGACGGGCACCAGCAGCTGTGTGCGTCCCTCCGAGGTCAGGTCGAGCCGGTAGCAGGCCGAGCGGTCGTAGTTGATGATGTAGGCCGGACAGGTGGCCGAGCTGCGGCATCTGACGCGTATGATGACGCTGTTACCAAGGCTTCCAGCGCTGTTACGCCAGCGATGCCGGGTCAGGTCATTTAAGTCACCGGAGTGATTTCGTGCTGACATCATTATTCAATTCATTGCGCTGGTTACGACGGTGATGACGATGACATTCCCAATGTCGCTGGTAGGGATGTTACATCTTGACGCTGCTTCTGATGGCCAGGCCGTAGACATCACACCATTTCAAACAGCGTCCGGTCCCTGGCCACCCGTCGACACGCGTCTTTTGCGCAGGCCGGGGGCGCTGTCCGGTGGACTGGCTTAGTGACAGGAGGTCGAGCAACGACAGTCCGCGAAAATTCATTTGGTTTGGAAAGGGGATTACAGCTATGTCGCGCAGGAGGAAATTGTGAACCAAACGCATATCTAAAAAAATGTCGCATGCCACATTTCACGTTTAAAACAACATGCACTCGCGTGTTTCTTTTATGTTTTCTCGTGTGCGTCAAGTTAGTCCAGGTGCGACCTGGTCGATGCCGCCAAAAATCTTGCCGCATGATAGTCACCTTAAGAAGCTATTTTGCCTTTGAATTCTTGCTGTTGTTGCGTTGAAAGAATTGTGTCCGACGAAAAGTAATGTTAAATTTAAGATGTAGAAATGTGCAGCATGTTTTCTGATTCACTTAGCATCTTCTCTCGCCAAAAGCTGTATTTTAACAATGTGATATTCCGGTTAAGTTTATGTCTCAACATGGAGGTCATGGAGGTCAATAGGAGGTCAGCATGACTTAGTGGTATTTGCAGCGTGGTGTAACGCAGCGTTACGAGTGTCACGGCCGAATACCAAGTATAAAAGTGGAAATGTTACTTGTTGTAGTGCTCCAAATTTGCTGGGGTTGAAAAGCTGCTGTTCGGTTTTTTTTTTGTTTGTTGTTTTTTTTTGGTTCGAGTTAACTCAAAACTGAAAATACTTCTTTGGTTGGCCCACTCCATTCCGTTTCAAGCGGTCCGGGGATACAGGATAACGAGTTTTTGCGCCGTTCCTTTCAGCCACCCTGACCCTGTTGGTGATACGATCCCCGTCAGACCGGGCGTGCCACCAGAATGCCTCACCTGTTGTTGCACTCGGCGGTGACCGGGCCCTCAAGAGCACTGTAGAGTGGTATTTGCGTGGCCGAATGTAACGTCACACCCGTGACCCTTTCGAACGTTTCGGTGCCTTCGCATAAGCCTGTAAATGTTGTTTCGCATTGTTTTGCATACGGTGGACAAGGTCGGGCGTTATATAGCGATTGCAGTGCGCATGGGGTTATGCCATATTCGAAGAAAGATAATATACGCAATTGGCACGTAAGCAAATACTAGACAATGCCAATGGCTGTTGATAAGAACAATAGATATGCTCATGCAACGTACCATAGTACGAGATGCGATGGCTTAGCGCCAGCAGCGCCACGTGAGCTAATGATGTTTGCATGTACATCTAAGTTCCTCAAAACCGAGTGTCGCACGCGCCGTGAAGGTAGGGCCTCTCTCAGGATCATATATTCGAGCTGGTCCTCCATCTGAGGAGGCCTCATCAACCGCACTGCCACCAACATGTGACGATACTGACGGCAGCTGTTTCACTCATCAATGAACCATGCAACCATTTCCGCAAGCTCCGGCTATTATCAGTTAGGTGTGCGATCTGCAGCGTTTGAGACCGCACTATCGTTCCTCTCGGTGTGGACTCACCCGCTGCGTCCTCGATGCACGCGATCATAACGCAAAGAAGGCAGAGGAGCCTCATGATGCTGTCCGTTCTGAAAGTAATGCGATCATAGTTACTGAAGAACGGTGCTGCCGTTATCTTCGTATTGTCGCCATGGTTTGAAAACAAACTGGCCCTGCACGCTATAGGAAGCAGCTGTCCTTTCTGCTGGGCGGAGCACCAATACAAATTTCCTTTAGTGTCCAACTGTAATGTGGCTGTAGAGAATAAAGCATTTTTGGTTTTGAGCATTTGAATGATCACACCTCCCGTTATAATTCATTACATTCCCCAATGGCATACGTCGGAAGCCTCTCATCCCTTGGGCATACGGCGTCCTGGAGCATACGGCACCGGTCGCGTCCTCCACGTCGCCACACAGAACGGGCGGAGGGTGGTAGCCGGGCGGAGGGCGCCCGGCCCCGCCCGGCCTCGGGGGAGCGGCCGGTAGCGGCGCCGTCACTCCCGCGGATCAGCGCGCGCACGCGACCGGCGTCCGCTAACGGGCCGCGAGACGGCGCGCCGGCCACGGCCGACCGGCGCCGTCACGTGTCCGAGACCGGATCGGGCTTGGGCGCCCTCCCCTGACCCGCCGGCGGTCATGTCGCTAAATTAGACCTCCGGAAGTCGGCGGCACGTTCGGTATACTCTAGCTAACTCGGGCTTTGGATGGTAGTTGGAGGGTGCTTGTCACCAGTTTGGACCTCGGGCGGAAGTTAGAGATTATTATAGCTGGATCGGGCCTGCCAGCCGCAGAAGGAGGCTTGTACCTGCCTCGAGAGGCCTGATCACTCCATCTCACTGTTGGTCGGCCCTCTCAGAGTTTCGCCAGTCACACAAAAATCCACAGATGCGCCAAAATGAGAAAAGCGTTTGTTTGGGGGGAATGTGATCGTATGCATCATCTTATGGTTCTTTGCTTGTACTCTCAATGGCAGGTGAATGATTATTTGAACAGTTCAAACCTTGCGTGGCGCCTGTGCGGTATCTTGGCCAGCTTCTTAGTGTCGCACATCCCACATCGTCATCAGCTTAAACGGCGCTTGGGTTGATTATTGCCCGCCTGAGACTTAAACGGCACACAGTTGACACTACCAACAGACTGAGACTCTCACGGCACAAGTTATGATGACACTGCATGGCAGTAATTCCGCAGTCAGCACTCGTGAACCCTCACCGCCAGATTGATAATGCTGTCACTGCAATCGATTAGGCCGCCAGCTCGAGTGTCCACCAGTCCTATTTGTCACCTGAACGACAGCATCCTCCAAGCATGTACGTGAAATCCTCGTCAATCTTCTATCCCCGATGTGAGAGAGCGCTTTAGAATACGGACGCAAACGCAGACGCCGGTGTGCCGAACGCTTCAGCACACCAATGCCATTTACACATGCCCGTAGGTAGCGCACCGCGGGCAATAACATTCACCGCCTCACATCTCACGGTCCGCCGCCAAAACGGCTCGCGAACGGCTGGCTGCGCACGCGCGACCTTGCGCGACGTGCGCGACACGCCGCGCGACCGTCCTCGCCACCATCCTCCTCTCAGCTTCGAGTTCGCCGAGCGCGGCCCATTTACGGAGCGGTCCGGCGCCGCGTCAATGCGTGCCGGTTTGCCGGGTGAGTGGGCCGCGCCGGGTTTTGACCCCGGCGCGCCACGCTCGCCGCGGCGTGATGCGCTCGTGTCACGGCCCGCCGACGGGTCAATCAGCGCGGTCTGCCGTGACGCGCTCGCTTTCGTGACGCTTCCGGCTGTGCGGCGCGTGCGGCGTAATCGTCGTGGGAACCGGCGAGCTCGGCTGGGCTGGGAGGCTGACGCGTCCGGCGGATTTCACAGTGAAGTCCGACGCGTGCAGGTCGGACGCTGATCAGGCCGCGGCTCAGAAAAAGGATCCCTGATTGGCTGCGAAGTAAAGCGGCTAATCCACTTGCAATTTCGTTCAGGCTCCAAAAGATGAAAATGAGTTTGAGTGTTTTACTCCATTGATGACTTGTGTAAATTGCAAATGCTTCGACACCCTTCCGAAGGTCAAGGAGATGCAGTGACATTTCACGCAAACGGGGAGAACAGTGATTCGCGATGGAGGAGCTCATGTTGCGAACAAAGGCCAGGCGACCATGACAACGCCCGGACACGTCCGCTTGTAGCGGAATGGTCTCTTCCACAGGTCTCCTATTGCAACGAGCGTGACTTCAGCAGCTATGCAGAGCTGGTATGTACAGCCGAGGCATAGATTAAACCTTGATACTTACTGATTGATTATCGAACGGGTGACTAGAACGCAATCAGCAAATCACTCTTTTTAGGCCATTGCATGCTGCTCGCTATCCCTCCCCTGCACCGCGGCCGACGCAGCGGCGCGACGTTTGCGGAGCCATCGGGCCCTGCATCGCGGGACAGGTTTCCACCGTCGGTCATTACGCCGCTGATCATGGCAGACACTGTCAAATTTTGACAACTGGATCGTCTATTCTACTTTCCAAGTTGATGACGAACGCATCCATCTCTTCCAGTTATCCACGTTGATCCCCGCCCCCGAAGACCACCCGGTTGCGTTTACATCGACGCTTGCAATTTGTCTTGCTCAGATGTGTGACGTCAAAAACACAAATAACGAGTGGTTAACGTTTCATAACGGTGAACGCATTTTTAAATGGTTGATGTTGCTGATTGCACACACGACGCATGTCTTTATTGATATATTTTTGCTCTCCTGCCTAGTTGTTTCATTTAAACGCTTGCAAATTAATATACTTCTTGCCTACAGTAAACAACTCATTCTCAGACTTTAGCAACGCTGTTTTGAAGAAACTTTGGTAGCTGTGAGCTTTCACTGCCAGTTGTTGGACAATTTCACATACAGTTCAGCTAATATTGAATGCAGTTACACAAAATGGCTGGCCTCATAAGCGACGGCAGCTGTCGTAATGTCAAAAGACGCAAAAGTTGTTTGGAAGCGGCGTAATGGATGATTCAGATTAGCGACAGGGCGAGAAGAGAGGCGTTCGCGAATAAAAGCGTAGCATCTGGAACAAAGAAGCTTAGAAGTGTTTCGTTATTTATGACTGGATGATCAGAGTGTGTGGCCCTTACAAGCAAAGACCTTCGCGGACTGAGTAAGGCCAGGGCTGCTCATAGAGAATGGATTACGGCCTAGGTTTTGGGGAAAATAAGGTGCGTGATTGCGGGTTAAGCTGGGAAGACGTTCAGATCTTGCAGAACACTTCAGGTAATACCATGCACAATAAGCGGTAAGACTTCGGCCCAAAGCGGAAAATGGTAAATTGATTTGTAAATTCGTATGACTCATTATATCACTCAGTCATAGTATCATACAAATGTCAAATGGGGGGGGGGGGGAGGTAAACGATTAGAAAGGCTAGCAGATGGGTAAGACAACAACAATACTGTTGCAGGAATGGCAAGATCGCAAACTCGGCCCATGCGGTTCTAGAGAAATAGTTGCTCGTCATGCGGTGGCACTTGCTCACATGAATACAAGATGTCTTCATGATTTTGCTCGATCTGCATGCAAAGGTCAGCTGACAAGTGGTAATAGAGTGTCTGGTGTAAGTGGTAAGGCTGATTGTCCGTTACAAATGCCGCCAGTCTGCAGCCCCGTCTGGCGAAAACACCTGGAGACAACTGTATTCGATAAACTAGACGGAACAACTTCGTTAATCCATTTGGTCTCCGCCACATAGGCTTGGTTAGGAGGCTTCCTACGCGTGAACGCGGTCGTATAAACCGTCCCGAAAGGTGTATTTGCTTAAGCAAATTCAGATAAACATACGCATAGCAAAGCGTCAGCCTATTTGGTAATGTAAACGCGGCTATTTCCGATTCATGGATTGCCGTCGCCGTGACTTCGATCCAGTACGGCTGTTCAGCACATTACACCCATGGATATTGATGAAATTGGTGGATGCAGAGAGCTGATGAATGATGATTTAAGCTGATGATTTACGCCAGTAATCAGCATGCAGGTCATGCCGTCCGCCATTGCGCTGTCAACAGGCCCGCTCGTACCTTCTGTGAAACCGGCCAGTTGGCGGCTGATGTGGGGGTTGGCGTCGATGACGTCAGCACCGCCCGGGGCTGCGCGACAGTGCCAGGGGCTGCGGCCGTGCTGCGGGTGCGGTCTATAACGAGGTCAGGGCCCCGGCACGCACAGCACGAACGGCGGCAGCGGTGGCACGGCAACAGCAACAGCTGTACGGAATGTAAACTGAGCTCTACATTGACGGGGGGGGGGGGGGGGAGGGGGCGAGAGAATGTCTGAGCGAATCTCAGGCTACCACATGACGGGGGCGCATTGTCCGAGTTAGAGTCTCAGACTCCCATGTGAGGGGCCCCGGGTTCGAATCCACGTTGCTCCAAGGCCTCTGAACGCTAATATGGCCGATGCAGTCGCCGGCGCTCCACAAACGCGATGTGATGACACACGTTGCGTTCCCTTTAAAACAAGAAAAAAGGTATGCAGTGGCCACATGCAAACGCCAACAGCGCCGGTGAGGCACGTGACGGAGTCGAGCATTTGCAAATCATGTCGCTAAGGTCATGCCTTGACGTTAAGGGTGGGTCATGCTTATGAAGGTGTGCAGTGTTTCGTGGTGTTAAGGGATCAACTCAAGGCGCCAAGTCAGACTACCAAGCGGCACACCGGTCACCTGACGTGGCCGACGAGACGACGGGAACGCACATTGCACCTGGAGAGTGCATCACAAGTCAGTTTTGTTCCTCAGATTATTGCAATAAGCCCCGCTAGATGGCGATATTAGGCGGTGCGACGCTGTGCTCTTCTCCACGAGTCCTTCTACAAGGAGACGGCTGGGCAGGGCACGGAACCCGCTGCAAAATGCCACGCCCCAGCTACAGAGCTACCCTGTTCGTATATGTGCAGTGTAAACATCGTCGGTAACTTTCAGAACGTAAGATATTGTTATTCGTTTGCAGGGATTCGGCCTAGGTCTCTAATAATCAGGAAGTTGATTAGTAATTTTGAGTTATCCGTACTTAGGTTGATTGCATGTGTTTGAAATCACCATAATGAGTGGTGTACTCCGCTCCTTCTCTGTTCTGAAAAGAGCATTCGCCTCACCAGAAGGGACGAGCGCATTAAAGAATTATGTCGATTGGATCGTTAAGAATCCATCACTTTTCTCGCCTCCACACACTACGCTCGGAGACGCAGCACCTTAGCGCTGGCCCCATTCGGTAATAAACTTTCGCGGATCGTGAGGAATAAGAAACATTGCGCCAAGGCAGACGGCAACGACGCGTATTTCTAATGCAGCTCAAGCAAGTCGCTGACTCAGAGTTGAAGGAAAACGCCGCCACTTCTAACGGTCTCGCTCAAACTTCTTCTCGTAGTGCGTGTGACACTGTGAAGGACTGCATGCACGAGCCCAACTCTGGGCCTGATCAAGCACCAGTGCCGTTGATTCACTTACCTTGTTGCGCTGGCCGTGTTGATTTCGCCCGCTCCGATGCGGGGGGGGGGGGGGGGGCAGCAGGCACGACGGGGCCGGAGCGAGCGAGTGGGCGGTGCGGGTCCGCCGTTGTCGGCATCGACTGGCGTACTGGGACCGGACCTGCACCGCTACACGGGGACGTGCCCGTTTACAGGCGACCGACCGTCACATAGCGTCACGGAGACAGAAAGTGAGCGGCAGAGTGAGGGAGACGCAGAGAGAGAGAGAGAGAGAGAGAGAGAGAAGAGAGAGAGAGAAGATAGAGAGAGAGAGAGACAGAGAGACAGACAGAGAGACAGACAGAGAGACAGACAGAGAGACAGAAGACAGAGAAGACAGACATACACAACAGACAGACAGACATACAGACAACAGACAGACAGACAGACAGACATACAGACAGACAGACAGACACAACAGACAACAGACAAGACAGACATACAGACAGACAGACAGACAGAACAGACAGACAGACAGACAGACAGACAGACAGAACAAGACAGACAGACAGACAGACAGACAGACAGACAGACAACAGACA